GATACTTTCAAGAAGCCTTCATTCTCTTAGGTGGAAATATTTTCAAAAAATACAAGATAGAAAGTTCTTACTTTCAGGGGAAGCAAAAGAAGGAAATCCTAAACTTTCAGTCTTACTCTTAGGGGGACCAAGCTGAAGAAATTATTAAAGATTAGTTTTGACATCATCAGATAGGGGGGATTGTAAGGTCACACCTTATGATCTGATGATTCAAACACTACACGTTGATCACCAGCGTCAACATCAACGCTAGGGCCAGTCCCAGTCCTATCAGTGTCAACGTGAGCTTCATAATCTTATTGATCATATGTATATTAGGCTGTTATATGTGTATATATAGAATAGATGTTTGATCCGTAATCTTAGTGATTAGGATCAGACCTTTACATAGATTACTATACATCCCTTAATTAGTGGGATATTCGTTATTATAATCGTATATAATCAACACTAGGGTGAAACCCTAATTTAGTCTTGGTGACCTCGTTCTCTTTGTGAGAACTATCTTTCTTAGTAAAAGTACCTTTGTGATTATTCGTGTTCTTTCGTTTTTCTGTTCAATCTTTCGTTTTTCGTTTTTCTTTTTTAGTAAAAGTAACTTTGTGCTTTGTTTGATTGTATCCGATCGATACAAACCTTCATACATACCTTTTGAATTGTTATTGCAAACAAGTCCTTTGATTCCTTGCTTTGTAGATCTCCATAAATCTAGCACCAAAATGATGATTCCTCTAATGGATGGCACCCAAAGCTAAAAAGTAGAACACAAGATATGAGAGAGAAGATGGAAGGCAAATTTTCGGCTCGGGTATCTTAGAAAGTAATGGCCAAAAAATGGAAGCCCTATGCCCCTTTATATAGCTGCGAGGAAACCCTAGAAACCCTAGATTTGAATATAAAATAATATTATTTCAAATATAGTTATCTACTTTCCTTATATCAAATGGATAATTATGGATTGCCCTCCAAGACATCCAAAACCTTCCACTCAAAGAGGTTTCTAGAACCTCTCCTTTGCTCAACTCTTAAGCAATTACCAAGCAGCCATTGCACTTCTAATTAATTCCAGTTGATCCTAAATTAATTCCAAATTAATTTTGATCAATTGTTAATTAATTTAATCTATTTCTAATTGATTTATTAATCATATAACAAACTAATAAAGTATTTTCTCTCTCTACAAATGTCATTCTAGTCAGTTTCTAGCTACGAGGGCAACCCAAAAAAGATTTTGCTTCTAATTACAAGTTTATATCAATTTAGTTATAAGCTTAGGCACCTTAATCCAATAGTCTAATGTTCAGCCTGACCTAATAGGTGGGGCAAACTGGACGACGGTACAGGCCTGTTAAGGTTTAGGGCCCAATTTTAAAAACTGCTAGTATACTATATTAATCAATATGTTAAAATACCAACACAAATTACTTGTAGATCACATGGTAAGGCATGTTATTTCTATTACATTTTTTCATGTTCGAATCTTAGCTGTTGCGCTATTTTTTTCATAAATATATAGGCTTTATGTTGGAAGCAATGGTGTTACTATTAACCCATTTCAAATCATAATTTACATCTTTTGACCTTGATCTTTCCAACTTCTTCCGTATTCTACCCAGTTTCCATTTTCTTTAGTTATGTTATACTTTTTAAAAATCTACATTTACCCCCTTCACTTTCTAGCTTTACATTTATTTCGATTTTGTTTATTTCTTTTTCACTTTAGTCTTTCATTTATGACATTTAACCCTTTTCAATGAATTAGAATGTCAAATAAACTCTAATAATACCTTGTAACCATTTTATAAATAGTACTTAAGATTACCTACCAAAGACAAAATTTCTTATAATATCAACTGTAACATCCCAAAATCAAGGTAAAATTTTCTTTTTTTCATAACCAAAAGAAAAACCATAAATGTTTACAAAGCATAGTTTCCAAGAGTTGAAATCACAAATCAGGGTATCTTAAAATCAAATCTCATAAATCCAAAGGATGTGCACGATCAAGCATTCGCCTTGCCCCGATCATCTAAGTACTTGAAACATAAAACTTAAACTGTAAGCTAAAGCTTAGTGAGTTCCCCCAAAGTACCACACACAACCAAACAAATGTAATATTGAATGCTAAGTCCACAACCTCCTGGTTGGATTGTCATACATATTACATGAGGGGTCCATAACCTCCCGGTTGGATTACCCTGACCCACAACCTCCCGGTCGGATTTCCACTCTAGCCCATAATCTCCTAATTTGATTTCTCTGTGATGAAGAGTTATTTTTTTCTGTGATGAATATCATACAAGAAGTTTTATGTAAATAGAGTAAAAAAAAAGGTATGAATCAAATTTGATATTTGATATGGGATAATATTAGTTTCCAGATTTATTGAGTATTGATATTAATAGTTTCAGGAAATATTTGACTATAATTTGAAAATATTAAAATCTTGTAAACAAAAAAATAATCATGTTTGCTGATTTTACAATATATAATAACAAATAATATGGTAATGCCTAAAAAAACCTTTATAAGGTTAAATCATGGTTGCAGAAATCGGGATTAATCGGCGATTAATCATGAATTAATCGATTTGCGTTCTCCAACCGTCGAGGATTAGGGCATTAATCGGAAATTTAGGATTAATCGGTTTGGCGGGATTAATCGGCCTTGGCGGGATTAATCGGTCAACAAAAGTCAAAAAAGTCGAAAAAAGTCAAAAAATGTCAAAAAAATTTAATAAAATTTAATAAAATTAAAAAAAAATTAAAAGAAAATTCAAAAAACCAACTTTTTTTACTCCAAAATTTTCAAAATTTCAAATATTATACCAAAATGTTCATATTTTCGTATTTCCAAATTTCCAAATTACAATTTTTCTTATTTTCTAATTTTGAAGTACTTGTTTTTCTTAAGATATATTAATATTTAATTAATTTTAATATTTTATTAATAATCTATGGTCCCCGATTAATCCCCGCCAAAACCGATTAATCCCTTAACATCAGTCGACCGTCGAGCTACCGTCGAGTGATTTTTACAACCTTTGGTTAAATTGGGGATAAATATGTGCATTTTTATGTTTGATTGTATATAATATGTTAAATTGATGGCTTAATTATATGGATTGTAATCTTGATATAAACTTAAATAATATGATAAGATTAATATTTTGTAATATCTGGATGAAAAATGGAGGAGAACAGTAGAATAGGAATCAAAAGATTTTTTTAGTGTTTGAATGTAAGTAATATCCTAATATGATGGTTGAATTACAAGTCTACATTGTTAACTTTGAATTCAAATCATAACTAATGGGTATTGACATTGTTCGACTTTCTTTTTTTTTTTTTTTTTTTTTTTTTTTTTTTTTTTGCAGATGTTAAGGATGATTTTAAGGTTGAGGGCATAAAGGTAATTTTATCCGGAATACATTGAAGATTCGAATTTACCTTGCGAATGTATCAACAAACTCCTAAATTTATGGCAATTAATTTAATTTGGTTGCAAATTAGATGTAAGAAACATGTAAGGAATGTAATGATAAAAGGATAATTCGACTTAAGAAAACATTGGGTGGGAAAAATAATTCAACAATAGATATTGAGATGACTCGTGTGCCAAAAATGATTTTTTTTATTATAGTAAGGAGATTTTGTAATGAAATTAGGAATCTATCGATGGTGCAACGGGTTGATAATATTTTGCAGCTCATTGTGGCCTTACTGTTGATGTTGAGTGTTGTTGTGCATGGTTGCTAATTGAATGAAATACATGGTAAAATAAAAAACAATGATAATAATATTCGTTAATTTTAATGTACTGTAATATATCTATTGTTTTTGTTGGTTGAATAATGTATTAATACAAGATAAAGATGATGCTCTTTATTTTTTCAAAGTAACAATGTACTTCTATACTAACATGAAACTGCAAACTTACTTTTCTTTTTAACAAAATATGACAATGAATTTCTATTTTTTAACGAAAAAATACAAAGTACTGCTCTTTTTAATTCAAAATAGGAACACATTTTTTTTTTAATTCAAAACAGTTTGTTGATAAAAACTAATAGATGTCCATCAATCATTAGCCTGAAAAAACTGTTTGTCGCCGTCGCATCGGACTGATACTATTGATTGGAAAAAAACTATTTATCGTCGCTGAAAAAAATAGCAAAAAAACTAGTAAACATCGCCCATAATTATTTGTCGACGCTGCATTGCACGGGGCACATACTGATGGCTGGAAAAAACTATTTATCGTTCACAGAAAAAAAAAAATAATTAAATAAATAGCAAAAGAACTAGTATTAAACATCCCCTAGGCCCTAATTGACTAATTCATCACCCGAGACATTGCGCTGGAACTGCTAATAATATTATTAGTTATTATGTTATACAAAAATCTATGTGAACACCCCTAGGGACTATTTCATAACACTCTTTTTATATTTACAAAGGTTTTTCCATTTTTGCAAAGAACTACCCACCAAAAGATTCTTTCAAATCTATACACCAATTTCATAACGATCGTAAAACAACAAACAAAGATCCATATAGTCATTTAAAGAAAACCATACATGATATATGAGGATATATAATTAAGGAGATACTAAGATACATATAGATTCAAATAAACATTATCTTCATATCTTCATATTATCTCAAGTAGCATTAAAAAGCAAGAATATGCAAATAGAATTATATCAACTTTAGTTATGGTTTAAAATGATAAATAAATCATATTTACTTCAAAATCCTAGACAGAAGCAACACACAAATATATTTTAAACATTCATTTTTTAAAATAGTAAACTTTTTATTTTTATAAAAATTCAATGACCATTGAACACCAAATTCATTGAATATCAAGTGACATTTCACAATAGTAGGATTTATTATTGAATGATAACTAAGTTTAACACTTCTTTAAATCTCCCATTAATTGTACCATGGATTGTAGATGTTATAAAAAGCAAAGCTGCTTCCAAAGTGCTTCTTTCAAGATCCATAATTAAAAAAAATTCCACATCTGCAACAAAGAGACCAGTCATTAACCTTATAAATGTTATTGAAAATCACAACCGAAAGCAAAAACCATAATATTAACCTGCAATAAATGCTATCACAACCGCTTCGCTTTTCCACATAAAAGTTGCAGTTCGGGCATCTCTTCCATTTTTTGTTCTTGGCAAGCTCCATTAACATTAAATCTTCCGGATTTCTTTCATATTCCTTTAAGCTCTTATACTCTCTGCAATCCATCCCGGAATGCCATACCACCTTACACTGCGCACAGAACAATCTATGGCAGTTTGGGCATTCCGCCGATGTCACAGCTTCTCCACTATCATCCACTAACATGGCTGAACAATCTTTAAAAGGGCAGTAGAGTTTCTGAGTAGCCATGATCATAGACTCGCATAAAGCATCCTCCCATCTTTCAAGAACTTCTTTTGGGACTATATCTCGACAAACTTCAGGTCCTATTAGCCCTTTGCATGTTGGGTCAGGACACTTCACCTTCGCGATGTTTTCTTTAATCTTCACAGATACATGTTGGCTTATGCAATCAGAGCAGAACAGATGGCCGCAAACTTTTGCATTTGAAAAGATTTCTGGTAGAGCTTTTGTGTCCATGCAAATGCCACAAATGCGCTCGTGTAATGTGGCTTCTTCAGCTTTCACCATTGGCTGCTTCCTCTTTAATTTATTTGGAGGTGTGGAAGTTGCAGGAATTGATGATGATGATGCAACTTTTTGTGATGACGATGATGCATTTCTTTTGGATGCTGAAGGTGTTAGAGCCTCTTGAAGTTGTAGTTCCTGGGCGTATTTCTCGTCGGAGATCGGGAAGATCTCATCATCTAGATCGACAATCATGCGCTTCTTTCGGGGCTGTAAAATTTGTATCAAACATATAATTGAAACATGAGGGGTTTCGTTGTTTGGTGCTAGCTATACTGAAAGGTTTCGTTGTACAAATTCCAAGTTTTCTTATGATGCAAAGCAGGGAATTTTGCTATTTCAACTTTTGATTCCACCATTAATCAACGTATAAAAATTTAACACTTACTAATTAACTGATAATTTATTAGAAGATACAGAAGAATTTACCTTCATCTCCAAACAACGAACTGACTTCGGCACTTTACTTTCGCTGCTAATTCTCTCCTAAATCAGATTTTGGTTTTTGTATGATGTTCGACGTGATTCTCGGCTCTCTTCGTAACAAACCGAACCCTCGTCGTAATCCAAATCCAGATTTCGGATGAATATATTCAACATGTGGTAAAACAGGTCCCTCTACTTCATGTATCGAGACTCTTCATCCTTGAAACAAAATATTTTATTGTTACTATATACTATATTAGCCAATGATCAGTGCATCTATGAAGCAGAACGTAAAGAAGAAACATATTACATTATCACATTGGGTTCAATTAAATAAGAAGTAAAAATGCTACCTAGCAATGGTGTTGACATTAGTGCAAGGTAAGAAATAGAGAAAGCCATCATTGAGAAGAAAAAAAAAATATCTTCCATGCATTTGTTATAAAGTTAGTCTTACAGAATGGTTATTCCAATAATATTACATGAAGACACTTTTAATTTTTTTTTTTAAATATTTTTTTATATTAATTTAATTATCATCATACAACGAGTGAGATGGCAAACGGACAACAAGCTGTGCCGCTAAGCCTTTTTGTATGGCAAAGCTAATTCTTTTAAAAACTACGTCCATAGATCTAGGGGATATAATATTGCTATGCATGATCCGTTGTACTCTATTAAGAAGCCCTACAGCACCTGGTGCGAGAAAACCAAACGTATCAAATGCAAATGGTATGAACATGTGTTGATTTTCCGTGCAAGATTTCTCATGTTTGGTGACTTTGCATGTAGCAGCTTTTAAAACAGTCTGTCCCGCCGTGAAACCCCCAGCCCTCAAGCCCACGAGAGGGGATATCCCTGTAAGGTCCACACATGCGTTTTTCCCTTCGACCCATCCAAAAATCAAAACGTTAGCCGGTATGAGGGTTGACATTCCTTCCGCCGGGTCAGTCAAAAAATTCACAGGTGCCTCTTTCTTAGCAGAAACCCCGACACGCTTAAATATGTCAACCAAAACATCGCTAACCATATCGTGCCTGTATTTGAACCCCGGGAGTTCTTTACAGTGAACTACATGCTCTCCAAAAGAGTCCAAACATGCCTTGCAATACACCGGACATATCTTGTCAGCTGGAAATATTGGAATCATGAGTCGATATTTGAGGATAGTATGATACTCCACAGGAGACATATGTTGGCCAAGCCCATCTATAGTGATAGCTAGAAGAAAATCTTAAGCATGTGGTGCACGTAAGCACTAGAAAACCGCTTTCTGCCGAGCCGTCATGTCGAGCTGCACTTCCATATCTTGGACAATGTTACGAAAAAGGGCACTCGCCAATGTATTCTGGGATTTAGGGGGGGGGGTGTTGTCTTTATTAGTAAAACTGCTAAGGTCAAAATCCGGAAGCTTGTTACGAAGAGAAGTCAAGGCACAATAATAATCAGAATCCATACCATATATGCCTCTATCCCGTAAGATGTGGTCTTGCAATACCTAAGATTGGGCCCTTGAGGCAACAAAAACATATTAGGTAGCCTCTACTGCCGAGTATAAGGAACAAAGATAAATCAAATAAAGACACATACTCCAACATATCAGGAGAGATCAATTCGCCACATAAAACTTGTATTCACAGAACTTTGGTGGAACAGCAAAACCATAACTTAAATTAAAGGCACTTAATGTTTTGCAACCAAAATATTGTAATTATATAATAGATATACTAGGATCCCTAAAATATGGTAAGTTCCCTTAGTTAAGATACTATCTCTTTCTTTCTCTCTCTCTCATGCATATATCCAGGGATTACATTCTATAGCATTAACATTTAGCCCATGGTTGGCTATTGGAAATGAAACTTGTATTAAAGAAGGAATGTCGTTCCTTGAAAACGCGTCTTTTTCATTTCAGCTACCCCCTATTTTATTTCACTCATTTTAGTGAGGAATCTAAACTACCAATTTTGTCCTCTATTGCTGCTACTTTGAATCAATTAAAATCCTAACCAAATCGCAAGAAAATTATCTATTTAAGAGCATCCACAATGCAAATAGTATAAGAGTTGAATAGGGTGATAACTAGGATTGAATAAGAGTTGAATGGAGTGTGGGTGATGACATGGAGTAGAGTGGAATGGAGGAGTTGAATGATCATTAAATGATATAAAATGGTGATTAGGATTAAATAGGTGCTTAATGGGTTGTGGATGATGTTGTATAGATATTTAATGGATGATGTGACAATCCATTAAACTCTATAGAGTTTAATGGATTGTAGATGCCCTAAAATAGACTGACAATCGATTCCTAATTTAGAAGGAATCAAAATTTTGAAATCAGGTTCAATAGTGGAAGAAATTCCTTCATGTTCGTCATTTTTGGAGTTAAGCGTTCAAGAACAACGAAGTTTATATGATTTTTGAAGGTAATTTATCGTTTCTTTTCATATTTTCGTCGTCATTTAGTCACTTGCACAATTCCTTTTTCTCGGACGAGTATGTGCATATTGAGTGTTCGATGAAATGTCTAAATGAAATGAATTCAAGGCTGCATGTCCTGGTTTTTTTTTATCTTACATTAGCCAAAACAACAATCTTTGGTTACTAGGTTAGCATCGGCCTTTTTATTTATTTATTTATTTTGTCATTTATGTTAATCGGATACTACTATAAGTTTTATGAAACAAAACGTTTGAAGTGTTTTTATTATCAAACATTGATCTATATATAATATTATTCATGTTAATGTGATAATTGTAGTTATTTGTTTATCAAATATGGATTCAATATACTACTTCTTATTTTATTATTCTTTTCCTTTACTTTATATCTTGTTCTAACTTAGGGAAATTAGGTCTTGACACAATGTAGCTGGTTTTGATTGGAACTTCAATTGTTGGTTTTGATTGGAACTTCAATTTGCTTTTCATTTTAATAGTTTTAGGGATTTTATTTAATCAAACTTTTTGTTTAATACAAATATTTTCATGTGATTATTTTGTGTTTGTAACTTCTCCTGACATGGTTTCTTGGATATTTTAGGTGTTGATGATGGTTGCTATAAAGACTAGAGTCATGATTTGGTTGCATGCAAGGTTAGGCTCCTAAATATCATTGATACATATTCTTGTAACTTGAAAAGATTTCCATAATGTATAAAGAAATAGCACCCAAGTTTCCAAGCTCTTTAATTTTTATTGAAAGATTTCCATCAATTTTAGTTTCACTTTCTTTAGGTGAATACAAGTTTTGTTTTTGTCACGAATTGAAATTCTTTTAATTGGATTTGCCAAAACAGACGGATTAGAAAATAGAATATATAAATCCTCTTTCTTACCTAGTTAACGTTGCCCTAATGTCAAAACCATTGCTAGTTGGCATGTTTACTTGTTATTTAATTGAAAGGGTGTTTGTGTAAGCTTATTTTTTTAGGCTTAAGCTTATGAGCTTAAGAGCATAAGAGTTTATGAACTTGTAAGATAAAAAAATGTTTTGATTAGCTTATAACTTATATGCTAATAGGCACTTTTAAAAATAGTTTTTGGATTAATTTATTTTTATAAAATAATTAAAAAGGACATGGTTACATTATACAATAAAGTTATGTACTGTTGGGAAAAAAAATTATTCATGGTTGAGGTAAATAGGTAAATGTATACAAATAAACAAAACATTTGAAAAAAAAATTTGTTTTCATCTCGTTTATGAAAATTGACTTATTTTTAGGTAAAATAAGCTCATAAGCTTAGGAGTGTTTGTTTTAGCTTATTTTTAAGGTTTTTTCTTATTTTTTGGGCTTATGAAAAAATTAGTGTTTGAGTTAGTTTATTAGATTAAACTTATGAGTTTATTTTACCTAAAAATAAGTCAATTTTCATAAGCTAGATGAAAACAACTTTTTTTTTTCAAAGGATTGGCTTTTTTGTATAAATTTATATATTTACCTTCAACAATAAATAATTATTTTTTTCCTAACAGTACATAACTTAATTGTAGGGCTGAGCATGGGTCAGTTTTGACCCAAAACCGAACCGAAACCGATGGTATCGGTTTTCAAATATTTAAAACTCAACCCTAAACCCAAACCGAAGGGTTCGGTTTCCCGGTTTTTCGATTTTTCAAACTCGGTTTCGGTTTTAAACCCATAACCCGTTCAAAATTTTGCTTGGTGGCATTTGGTAGTTTGTATTGATTTATATAAGAGGTAAATAGGAAGAATGTTTCATCCTCTCTCGATGCGGGATAAAGTTTCGATTTAAGAAATAGAAGAAACAAAGGGAATTGATAATGGTAAACAAAATAAAAGCTCCAGACGTCGAGAGTAAGACTCGAACCTTAGTATTTTGCCTTATATGTCCACCGCCTTAACCAACACACCAGCCATATGTCTGTGTTTACAAGTCAAGGAAAAGATATATATACATAATAAATCGCAAAATTCATATTTTTTGTAAAGTTCGGTTCGGTTCGGTTTCTCTCGGTTTTGCACATTCCTAATACCCAAACCGAACCGAAATTTTCGGTTTCTAAATAATACAAACCCAAACCATCGGTTTATGCTTCGGTTTCGGTTTCGTCGGTTTTTGTCAGTTTTTCGGTTTGCGGGTTTGGTTTTGCTCACCCCTACTTAATTGTATAATATAAGCATGTCATTTTTATTCGGTTTACAAAAATAAGCTAATCCAAACACTATTTTTAAAAGAGCTTAATTTAGGGATTAAAGTGGGTCCAAACCCGGACCGGATGGACCCGGACCCGGAAAACCCGGAACCGGTTAACGGAATTTTGTAGAACCGGAAACCAGACCGGTATATAGGAATCGGTTCCGGTTCGGTTCCGAGTACGGTATCGGGTAAAGTGGGTCTAGAATCGGAATATCCGGAAACATCAAAGTGGGTAAGGTGGAATCGGATAAAATGGGTTTAGAACCGGAAAACCCGGAAAAACCGGAATTTTTTATAATTACCACAATCACGAGGTTTCCAGAAAACTCATTGACTTATCAAA